TCAGTGCTCCATGAGGTAGCTGCCCGTGTCCCAGCAAGCAAGGTGACATAGGTTATGAAAGCCGCAGGTTGATGGAGCTATTGCCCTGAGCTGACTGGTGTTCACTGGCAGCAGCAGATCCTGTCCCCCAGTGATGCTCAGTGTAAAGCACCTTGGCTTTCAGAGATTTACACCTCCTGCCTTTCCATGGCAGGTGTCAGCCTCTCTCTCGACATTTGCTGAAACGATTCAGTTTTTTTGGATCCACAGTGCCTGTGCCAAGAACCTTACAGGAAAGGTACGCACAGCTTGAGAACCCGTGGAAGTCTGCTAGGCAGGAGACTGGCCTTGAGGAGATGGGCTAGGGAAGCTTATTCCCCTATTTGTCTTTTTGGGGAAAGAGAAAAAGCGAACTTGAGGGTTTAAATCTGGGGTTCCCTTCAAGGAATTAGATGCTGGTTTCCAAAGGTTCTTTGGTAGTAGTTTTCATTCAATGCCCCTCCCTTTGTAGTGAGGCTGTTTCGGCCAAGGCAGGGGCCGTCCTGCCAGTACTTGGGCCTGGAGGCACTCAAGGCTACAGACAATGAACTGACTTTTCTTTGGAAAGTCAGGAGACCCGAGGAACATGGCTTAATGGCTCTAGAAGACCTATCCTTTATTTCACCTCTAAATAAGGGTGTCAGCAATCTGGGTCATTTAAAAAAAAAAAAATCTGACTTATTCTTTGTCTTCTTAATAGCTCCATTTCAGCTGCTTTAGGACATCAATCTCGTGACTCCAGGCATCGCCCTACTTCAGAGCCACCCAGCTTTGTGTGCTCTCTACTCAGCCAGCCCCCAAAAGTAGGTGGCCCAGAATAAACAGGAGAAAGTAAAAGGGAAACAAAAGGAGAACTTTCCTTTCAGACCAGAGCCAGGCAGGTCAGAGAATCACCTTCTGTGGCGGCCGAGCATTGCTTACCCAGGCGGTGGGGTTCTGAGGACCACACTGGCCTCATCCATCTCCATGTCTTGTCTGTCCTCCTGCCTCCTGCCTTCGCCTGCTGTTCCCCATCTCGAAGCTCTAAAAAACCAGCCCACAGCCCAGGAGGGACCAAAGCAGAAGTGTGGGATGGCAAGGGGGACACATGGGTTTCCTCTTATGGCCCTGGCTGTCTGTGGGGCCATGACCTTGAGGTCTGTAGCCCCCCCTTTGAAGTCCTTCATATGCTGGAAGCCTCTCACCTTGTGTGTGGCAGAGAGGAAAGGATTCCCAGACTAAGCTCGGGCCCTAGGAAATCTCCAAGGCTCGTGGGTTTGTGTGGCCTCCAAGGCTGCATTTTCATGAGGTTAAATGTTCACAAAATGTAAGGGGTGTGAGGAACCAGTGAGGAAAGATTTCATTTTGAGGAAGTTGCCTGGGCGCCATCAAGCCCAACTCCCACTTGCCATCTGCCCAGGCTCCAGAGGCAGCTTTGGGAGGGGAACCGTGGTGAGCATGCCGTGGCCTCCTGGAACTGGCTGCTCCTACGTGTCCTGAAGAAGGTGGGGTCTATTATCCAGAGAGGAGCAAGGGGAGCTTGCCAAGAACAGACCTCCTCTGCCACTCCCCATCCCCTGAAGCACACTTGGGGAAAGCTCCTCCGGGGTCGAACAGAACAGGCCAGTCGTTTGGAGTGGGTCCCTACCACGGGGTCCTGCACGGGCTTCGGGGTGCCCGTGTGCCCTCGAGGCCGTCTGCAGGATGCTGTGTGTGTGCAGTGTGCATTACTTCTGGTGGGAGTCCATAGTTCTTAAAAACTTCCTGACCACCCCACCCTTTCAAAAAAGTAAAGCAGTAGAGTCATTTAGAGGAAAAGAATGGGACTGCTTCTGACTCTCCTTAGCAGGATTTACTCTGAGAGAGGAAAAGCTACAAGGACACCCACAGGCTCCCCGTGACCTTGGATCCAGGTTTCCCTCTTCCTCGGCAGGTGCCTGGGACTCCCATTCCAGGGCTGTCTCAACCCCATTGCTCTCACTGTAGCAAAGAGTCCAATACACAACAGAACCCTTACACAGGGAGGCGCTCAGTAAATACTTGTTGAACAAATGTGGACTCTGATGTGACCGCTGCTAAGAATAATCAAAGAATGACCTCACAGTTCCCACGGTCAAATGGGACCTGCAGCCCACAGCCCATCGTGGCCAGCAAGGCTGTCGGTGTGGTCTGTGGTCAGGCAGCTCTTGGGGCTCTCCTGCTTTTCTCTCCCTAATCTCGTGTCACCAGTCCCACCCCATCCTCTATTGGCTCGGGTTTGTTTTTCTTCTCCTGGTGATGAAGTCTGGCGTGGTTTCCTTTGCACTCTTGGTTCAGACAGTTACCTTCTGGCTACAGGAAAGCGCCCAGGCTCCCTCGGATGGGGACAGGGTCTGAGACACAAGGACCTTTCACCCTGCCTCTCCTAACAGCTGCTGTTTTGCTGGATATTTTAGGAGTTCAGCCACTGGGAGAATCCTCCATCCTGCAGCCGGGATGGCTTTACAGCCACAGGCTCTGTTTTTAACAATTGCCAACTTCTGCAAACCTCCGTTGCTATCATAGGACCACATGGACTCTGGGGCTTCCTTCCTGCCCTTTGTCTCCATTGCCTTCAGTGGCTGTGCAGTGCAAGGTTGACACAGGCCTGCTGAGCCTGGCCCTTGCCCCGCTCAGCCTCACGCAGCCACTCTTCCACTGGTGGAAGCCTTCTGGGACCCTGCACGCTTCCTCCTGCAGTAGCAGCTGCCAGCCTGCGCTGTAGCTGCCTGGTCATTTCCTGTCTCCCCTCTAGCAAGGATTTTGTGTTTCCAGCACAGTGCCTAGCACATATCAGGTTCACTCATTCACTCAAAGAGCATTAGCTGAGGACCTACCATGTGCAAGGCACTCTTGTAGGCACCTGGGGTAGACCCGTGAACAAAGCAGGCCAAAACCACCTGTCCTCAGGGAGCTCACATTCTAGCATGGAAGACAAGCAGCAAATAATAAACGTAATAAATAGGTAATGATACCAAGTGGGAAGCGCTCTGGGAAAGCAGACCAGACGCGGGAACATGAGCACGCTCAGTAAACCCACGTTCGATTGAATTTCGCAACAGCACGGCCAAGTGGGCACATGCTGGGCATCTTCTCTCCCCATGAACATGGGGGTCCCTCAGACAGAGACCCCCAGATGTGATGTTTGCACTATGCACAATGATTACGTTGGGTGAATTTTCCTAACCAAAATTTAGTAGTATCAGATATATATGAACGGATCCGTAAAGAACGTATTGGGATGTCACACTTCATACCAGTCAGACTAGCTGGGTGTCTCGGTACTTCTCAGTCTTCTGTTCCCTGCATGCAGAGAACATGTTTATCCAGCGTACTTAGGCAAATGCAAGCGGCTGCTGAAGCTGCGAAGCCCAAGGGCTGAGGGCATTAGTATCCCACCTGCCTGAACTCCTTTGAGGCCCCTGGGTGGAAATCGTGGGGTGGTTATCTAACTTGAGTACAGCCTAGAATCGCCTGGGGAGGTTAATATGCAGATGGTGGGCCACTCTGAGACCTTGGGGCCGTGGGGCAGGAGTCTGCTTTGTTAATAACTCTCCCAGATGTTTCTAATGCTGGTGGTCCTCGGACCACACTTGGAGGAACACTGCTATGCAACCTTGTGGAGGTACATGACGAGCCACAACACTTGTGTTGTTGCATTTGAAGTTTGGAGCTATAGAGAGAACAGTGTGGTCAGTGGTGCTCAGGCGTGCATCAGAATCACCTGCAGGGCCTGTCAAAACGCGGGTTGCTGGGCCTCCCCCACAGTGTCAGGGTGAGGTCTAGGTATATGCATTTCTGAACAGGTTCCCGGATGACGCTGAGGCTGTTCGTCCGTGGGCCACACTTTGAGATCCATTGATGTGACTCATTCAGGATGCCTGTGTGCCTTGGAAGTTTGGGTTTCTATGAGCTAATCACAAGGACAAAGTGGGGTTCATTTTTAGGAAGCCAGAACTTAACCCTGTGTAGTCAAAAAGCATCAGAAGAGAGAGATTTGAGAAACTAAATCAGAATAGATTTCCTCTGATGGAAGCATAGCTCTGCAATGTATCTGCACGTCCCCCCTCCAGCCAGTGGTGAGCTAATAAATGTTTAAGCATCTCTTCTTAGAGATAGCGGGTAGAGAGGGCTGATTTATTGCTTGCCTATCTCTGTGGTGTAAATACTCCCACCATGGTCAGTTTCAAGCCACTAGTGTGGTCGCTGCACACGCAGCTGGGAAGAGATGTGCACAGTGAGCTCCCCACAGCCCCCAGGAGCCAGCTCCAGCGCACCACTGCCTCCGGCTGCTGTAAGGGTTTGTGACCTTTCAGGGTGTTAGTTACAGTCAGTTCCCACATTAAGGACCATATCCATCTAAGCTGTGGTTGCAGTCGCAGGACCTTCCTCTGAATACATAAACCAAAATGATCGCCTCTCCCAGCCGGTGGCCCGCAGTATGTGTGAAGCACTGGGGTTTAGCCTCTTAACTTCCGGGCTTGGCCTATGGTCCAGGTGGCAGGCCCTTGAGGAAGGTCATCTTTCCTCACACCTCCTCTGAGGTTTCGGTTCTCCAGGCCTGTCAGTTGAGGAGCTGACGCACTTCATACACCAAGGTCAGGGGCCTCCCGGGGCAACGAAAGGCTTCATGTCCACGCAAACCCAAGTGAGCTAAAACCAGCTGAAGAAGTTAATTTTTGCGGTGACCCATTTTCCCAGACAAGTGAATAGAAAACATTGGAGAAATGTTTCTTTTTCAGAAAATAAAACCACAGAGAGAGAGAGTGATTCCTCTTGAGGCAGAGCCGGCCGAGGTCCCCTTCGGTCACAGGAGGTCCTTTGAACATGGGTGATGCCCGGGTAACACGGGTATCCTGGGGCACATGAACAAAGCCCACGTTCAGCCCTGTCTGTCTCCTCCCGATCTGCTCACACCTGCTGCCTGCCTCTTTGCTGTAACCCAATTCTGCTTCTTCTTTCCTAACTTTCCTTCATCTTTCCAGATGCAGGACGCTATGGGCTATGAGTTACCCTGGGTGTATTTTGTCAGTCTGGTCATCTTTGGATCCTTTTTCGTTCTAAATCTGGTTCTCGGTGTGTTGAGCGGGTAAGCTGACCATTTCTATGTCCTCTCCACAACGCAGCCGAGCAAGGTCTCAGGTTCCACTCCATACATGCCCAGGGTCCTCAGGGACGGGACCCTGACAGGCCCAGGAAAACCACCACAAAGTGTCTGTCCAACCACAAATTCTGACCCATTGTCCGGGCAGGCTGTTTGGCCTCTGATTTGCACCTAGAGGGTCCCCGGGTCCCGGCGCTGCGTGGGTCAGTGTCCCGGGAGCCGGGGACCGGCACTGGCCGTGCTCGGTTGCTGAGTGTGCCTCACTAACTATCATTCCGTTCTTCCAGGTCAATGATGCCGTAGGAAGGGACTGGCCCTGGATCTATTTTGTTACACTAATCATCATAGGGTCATTTTTTGTACTTAACTTGGTTCTCGGTGTGCTTAGCGGGTAAGCAGGACCAAGGAAAAAGGTCTTGATTTTTCCATTTATTTGTATTTATTCTTTCTGCTATTCCTGGCTGTGTTCTTCTTCTGGCTCTGATGAACCTGGGATAAGGGGTCACCACAGGAGCCTTGAAGTGGATGTCCTTGTCCTGGCTGGGTAAAGGGTCAGATGTGCCACTGGCCTCGGTGGTGGCCAGTGGAGGAGAGCTGGCTTCACCACAAAAACTGGGTCCAGCCAGCCCCTCCCAGCCTCAGGTAGCTGTCCAGGCAGGCAGGGCCCTTCTCCTTGTGCCTTCATGGCCTCTGGTGAACAGGCCTGGGTAAGAAGAGACTGGTTTAAAACATAAACAAAGACAGACTCAACATCTAATTCTCTTCCGTTTTAATTCATAGACTGAGCAGTCTATCTCTGACTTTCCTTTCCTGAACGGAAAGGAACCTTAACTGTTTGAAGCCATAGATTATTTAAGAATAGAAGAGAGAGGGTACACTTTCCTCTAACTTTATCTAGTCGGCTGCAAGTATCACATCTACCTAATTTCAGCCCTTGCTCACATGAAATTAGAAGTGGTAGAAGTAGCTGGGCATGGTGGTGCACACCTGTAGTCCCAGCTACTCAGCCGTCTGAGGCGGGGGGATCACTTGAGCCCAGGAGTTCAAGGCCATGGTGAGCTATGATCATGCCACTGCACTGTAGCCTGGGCAACATAGCGAGAGCCCGTGGTAGAAGTAGCATGTGGTTGGAAGGTCAAGGAGCTTTTCATCATGGAAACGCCTGAGATATTTCCTCAGCCCACTTTCTTCTTCAGAAGTCCACACCAGCCATGCCAAGGCCTAACACCTAAATGCTCCTGGTGACCGGCTCATGGGTGACCACTCTGCTGCCTTTGCCACTTGGGGGAGGGGGTTAATCTACTTCTACTCTGCTTGAGACTGGTCAGCTGCTTTGCAGTCTTTCCTGAATATCTAGAGAGGTTAATGCTGGGAGAAATTTAGGTATAAAGAGAAAGATTGTGCCCCACTTTTCCCCAGTACATAAGCTGGGAACAGCTACTCCCAGCTCCTACAGCTGCCCTAATGCAGTGCGGAGCAGTGGGCTTGGCCTTCAGAGCTGCGTAGAGGAAACAATCTCCTCCCAGCCCTTCCGCCTCCCACGGAGAGTGGCCCGATAGAGACCTTGATGACAAAATGCCTTTTTCCAAGGTGAGACCACACAAGAGACTAGTGTCTTCCGTCAGGGATATCAGTGATGAGCAGAACAACGTAAGTCTCGGATTCATTGCCTGGAAGGTAGAGAGGTTTTCAGTTTCATGTTCAAACACAAGAAAATGCCCCTGTGTTTATTTGTGAATCTCCAAGGAAAGGATTGAAAAAATCAACCTCATCACCCTGAATCAAAGCAGAAATTGAGACATCCCAGCTCTGCCCTGGCTGGGTGCATAATGTTGGGTGGTTTCACCTTTTTAAATCTTAGATTCCCCATCTGAAAAAGGGAAGGTGATAATTCCGGTGCATAGGTGGCTGTGATGATAGGATAAGATCATTTTCAGAATACTTAACGCAGTGGTACATAGTAAGGGCCCAATAATGGTGCTATCATTACAATGATTATTATTTACTTGGTGCCTGTTATAACTGGAATTACAGAATCATCAAATGTTAGAAATGCTTTTCCTTGTAAAGATGAGGAACGTGAGCCCAGAGATGTTAAGCAACTTGTACAGCGTCACTTCCCTGGTAAGCAGCAGAATCAGAGCCAGCACTCAGGCACCGCCTCCCATGAGATCTACGATGAATGAGCTTGAACTGCAACACAAGCCACAGCTCAAGACTTTTAAATGAATGTAACTCCACTTTCTTCCCCTGGAGATTGGGAACCAAATCTGAGCAAGTAACCCCCCGCCAAGAGCCTGAAGTGGAGAATGAGGGCTGGACCCTGAGGGTCCTCCCTGAGCAGAGCGTCTGTCCACAGTCACTCTTGGCCCCCCAGAGGAGTAATCTTCCTGGTGGAATCAAAGCAGTGAAGTCAAGTGACAGAAGCTGCTGATGTTGGAGAAGAAGCCACTTTGAAGGCCATATCTTGGCTGACTCAGCCTAAATGTGCTAGAGTGTGTTTAGACACCTCACCCCAAACCTGAAGCTTAGTAATACTCAGAAATGTTGGTTGACTCAGAACAAGAACATTAAGGCTATTTGACCTCTGAACTTAGGAGTCTTTCAGTCTATATGCTGGTCTTCCCCGGAGACCTTCCCCAACCTTTCTTTCCTGACCTGTTCTGAGAGCTGCCATCTGCTCCTTGCAGCTCCTGAATCACTGATAGAACATCTGCCAAGGCTTCCTTGGCCAAGGGTCTGCTCTGTAGAGCAAAGAGGCGTGTATGGGTGAGCACCTCCCCTTTCTGGTTTAAGGAGGCCTTTCCTTATGTGTCAAGGGCAGGCCATTCTGAATTGGTTCCCGCCCGCCCCATGCAGTGCCAAAGCTGGAATCAGGCTTCTGTTGGCTGACCACTCAGAAGCAACAGTTTCCAGTCAGTCTTGATTAGCCAGGACCGTAGAATAGTCACCCACTTACTGGGTGCAGATGTAGTTGACCATGCAGTCAAACGCCCACTTATTCATCAGACTTCTGATTAAGTTACACTTCCAGAAGCATTCAAAAAGGTCTCACAGCTCCATGAAGTTGACTGTCACAGTGACAGCATTAACAGTCCCTAGCATTCTCTGTGTCAGGCTCTGTGCTCAGCGCTTTTGCTAGATTCACTCAGTTAATGCCCATGGCAACTCAGTGAGCTGGGGTTATTCCTGTGTCCATTCTATAGAGAAGGAAAGTGAGGCTTAGCAGCCGAAACGACCTCAGTTCCAGCAAGTGAAAAATATAGGATGCAGAGCGGAGCCCAAGCAATGTGAATCCATGGCCTCTATTCCTGACCTCTGTAGTGTACTCTCCCCAAATCCATGGGACGGGTCCATCCCATGCTTTTAAATGGCAGGCGAGAAGTGGAGAGGGGAAGAGCAGAAGCTGCAGTAGGAAGGGTGAGAGGAGTGAGCTGGCAGGCACAGAAGCAATCGGCACAGGCTGCGGGAAACAGCCAGCAGGCACACAGAATCCCAGCAGGAAGCTGCAAAGGCAACCACCCAGAGGCCTGCAGCAGGGCAGGGCTGTTTAGCAGAGGGGCAGGCAGCCCTGCAGATCTTCATGGCCCTTGAAAGAGAGCGAAGCCACTAACTGAATAGCACTGCAGTCTTGGAGCCTTCTGCGACTGGGAGGAGTGTGAAACCCTACATTCCAACAATTAAGGATAATAGGATTTTATAGCCCAGCGCAGTCACTCATCCTCATAAATCATGTCCTTCAGTCACTAAGGAAAGATTGAATGGTGCTTGGTATGTTCTGCTCGTGAAGGTAGAGATGATGACTCCATAAAGCTTCCATTTAAAGTGTGGAAATTCAGGGCTGTGCATGGCAGCTCATGTCTATAATCCCAGCGTTGGGAGGCTGAGGCAAGAGAATCATGTGAAGGTAGGAGTTTGAGATCATCTTGGGCAACATAGTGAGACCCCTTCTCTCTAAACAAAAAATTTTTTTTAATTAGCTGGGCGTGGTGGCAGCACCTATAGTCCCAGGTATTCAGGAGGCTGAGTCGGGAGGATCACTTGAGTCCAGGAGTTTGAGGCTGCCGTGAGCCATAGTCGTGCCACTGTACTCCAGCCTGGGTGACAGAGCGAGACCCTGTCTCTAAAAGTAAAAAAGAAAAAAATGTTTTAATGGAAATTCAGACTTTGGCCCTGAGAGGGTGAGACCTCTTCTATCTGGAGCATGCACACATCCAGAGCACCTATTTCTGATGAGACCAGATAGAGTCAATATAAAGAATAGAATAATTAAAGGATTTTTTCTAAATACTTCATTATCTGATGGTCCTCACATTAACCCTATGCAAGACATAGGGCTGGTGCTTGTATAGATAATAATCAGATTATGATTACTTCCCCTCAGAAAGCTCAATCTCCAGCTGACTAGAGTAAAGTCTACAACAGTGATGATGAGATTCTTGAAATTGCCCTTGAAGCTGTAATGAGGTGGAAGCCTCTGGACTCTGGACTCCGGTTACTTCTTGTTTTTAAGCGATTGCAAACAGAGGGCTTGGGAAGTGCGCCTCTGGTTGGCAAGAGGCCCACGATTTCTTACATAGGTAGTCATCCCATCCCTTTCCCACTGGGAGTTGGGCGTGTCTTGTCCCCAAAAAGCAGAGAACCCCCGGAGGTAGGCATTTTACAGCCGGGAAGTACCACTGGTCCACGGCCCCACAGTTAAGACACAGTATCTGGGACCAGAAGAAAGCAATGAAACGTCAGGACACACGGGCCTTGTGGGTGGGAGCAGAAGAGATGGGCCAACGTACACAGTCAGTGCCCCTTATTCATAGTGGTTATGTTCCATGAAGTCACCACAAACATGAAGTAGTGAACACTGAGACGTTAGTCCTGGGGAACCACAGGGTTATTTCCTGTGAGCCTCTGCTCACATTTTGTCAACCAATCAATACATAACCTTGTTTTAAGTGTGTTTCTATTTAAAGACACTTTATTTAATATATACGATTGATTCATTAACATTAAACGCGTGGCCACCAGCAGTGTAACTCGCGCCTGCGTGAAGCTTACTTAATGCACGTGTTTTCTCTGTGCAGCACGTCGTAGCCCTCCTGCGCATAGTGACACTGGACGGCACTTCCGCATTATGCTTGGGGCCATTTTAAACAGCAAAATCACCAACAAAAAGCACAAAAATGAGACAATCTCAAAAATGAGGCACTAAGTGGACGGTGAAAAGGACACCTCATAGTGTGAGGGCCGAATTGGGAAGGCAGAACTCTGCATGTCCCCTTGTTTGGCCTCAGCGGGAACACGTAGAGTTTTTGTCATCTGCACGTGTCCACAGGTGACTAAAAGTGCCGCGAGTATTGGTTCTGGAGTTACAAACACATTTTAGTGAGTAGGCGCATTTGTAGATGTGGGATCCACAAATAAGGAGCCTGGGCGGTATCGACGATGGAAGGGCCTAGCACGCCTCGGGCTGTTGGTTGGATTCCACACCCACCGCCCCGTGTGTGCTTTACGCCGCTGAGCCCTGGCCCCCGGCTCTCCACACCACCCCTCGTTTTTCATGTTGGCCATTGCTGGCGAGAGACGCAGTCCTGTCTCATGACAAATCCCACAGCAGTGACTGATTGTCTTGTCGGCTGTAGTCCTTGGGCCTGGTGCAGCCTGTCAGGCTGGAGCTCCATGTCTTCATTAGCTCAGTCCCCAGAGCAGGAACATGGCTGGCATCCAGGTAAGGAGATAAAGAGAGCCAGGCACTGCCACCAACAGATCCTTTCCTGTGTGGGGACTGCCGAGGGAAACCTTGGCTCACCTTCCATCCAGCCTCAAGCCTGGCTGTGCCTCACACTCCATGGGATGCAGCCATGCTCCAGATCTGACTAAAGCCCTTCTCCATCCCTCTCACACTCCCAAAACACATCCCTCCTCTATGAGGAAAATTATCTTCAAGCCAGGCAGAATCAGCAGCCTACCTCATGTTCTATTTCTCCCCCTGGATGTTTATTTTAGATCCCCAAAGGCCTTGGGGTATAGATGGTGAGCTTCATTCCATAGGGCTGATGCTGTAAAACAGGATTGGGCCAATTGTCCCTACTCCAGTTGAGTCCCAGTCCTCTTCTCCCAACTCCAAAAGAAGGATGGGTAGGTGTTTTGTAACCAGAACTTGAACCCTCTGCAAAGTCACCTAAAAGAACCGAAGTGAGCCCTTACAAGGAACTATGAAGTTCAGCCCCTTGCAACTCCAAACCCACCCCAGAGGGGTGCAAATGGAGGTAGACAGAAAGACAGTCAAGAGAGGAGGCCTTGAAACACAGTTTTTGGAGTTGATTTGCATAGGGAGAAAAATGCTATATGAGGTTACTGTCTCCAGGAGCAAGACTAAGTCCCCGGAGGCTTAACCAGGTACAGGGGATAAAAGGTTAGGAGGAGAGGGGATGGCATCTCTCTATGATCATCCCCAACAGGGAAGGAGCAAAGCTTCCCTCTCCGTTGTGAGCTGTCAATCTGTCTGCTTTTCCCTAGCATAAAACTCCTTGGGAAGGAAATGAAGGTACCCGCTGGTTGGCAGGAAGCCCAAGAAGCAGTAAGTTCAATCCAATTAGAATTGGATTCAATCAAATTTAAGAGGAAAATTCAATCCAAACCAGAGCATCATTAAGGCAGCAGTTGAAGAGAACTGGTTAGCTTGAGAGCCCCCACATTCTCCCAATTAAAAAGTTCCCTAGGCCCCACCCCAGCCCCAACTCCATCTCACCGTAAAGACGGTGCATGCTGAAATCAGTGCACTCCCAAATCAGTGGCACAGGCCAAATGCAAGCACTAGGCAGTGCAGGTAATGATGGAACTGCCCCACAGGACAGTAGACTCAGGAGTAGAGCCCTTTGCCCTCTAATGGTTTGTGGTGCCGTCCCTCCTTCCATGGTGCCTTTCCTAGAGTGTGGCTTGAGCAAAAAATTCTCCAAGGTGCTTCCAGCAGCCTCTTGCCCTGAACTAGGCCTTCACTGGTGAGAGAGGAAAACACCATATGGCTCCAAGAATTAACCAAGCTGTCCTGTGCATGTACACACACACACACAAATACACATATCCACGCACCACCAAGGGCCTCATTCCCCAAAGACTGCATGTCAAAACCAAAAATACTCCCCATACCTATTTTGCAAGAAAAGGCACAGACTTGCTTTGAGGGTTGAGAATTTGCTGTGTTGATGATTGCCTTCTGCTGCCAGCCTCCTCCTTGCTCAGAAAGTGAATTCGAAGTCAGAGAGAAAATTAGGACAGAATCGTAGAAAAGAAATAGTTATTGTGTCAGAAATTTTTCAATAGGCCCTTCTTCCAGCAAATCCCACTCCAGTTTCAACGTCTACTCATTATTACTTTAAACCAAATGCATCGTTTAACTTTTATATCATCTTGATTTTAGGTATTTTTCCATTCTGATTGGATTTCTTTAAACCAAAAGGTCAGCCCCCGGGACATTTTCTTGTGTTTGGAACCTTCATTTGTCTCCATGTAGGAGAGACCCTTCTCTAGATTAGAAAAAAAATCCTTCCAGGAATGCCGAGTGGCAGATTGAGCTCATCATAAGAAGAGAGATTGAGGACATTAAATCTCCTGGGTCCCAAATCAGTGGTATACTGGTAAATATTTAACAATAGGCTATCTAGGGGGAAAGCCCTGGTTTTCAGCATTTGCCAGTTACCGTGGTGTAAATATTCCCACCGTGGCCGATCTCAAGCTACCAGTGAGCCATCCCTGAAGCCAGAGTTGGGAAGAGACATGAATGATTGGCTCTCAGGACCTGGTGCGAGTGAGTGGGCTTTGGTACACTGCTGGTCTAACACCTTGTGTCGCCTGGAGATCCTTGGGAGAATTTTAAACTGCCACTCAATACTGGGTGGGATGGAAATGCATGTTCTGGAATGGTGGTGGAGGTTTTTAGTTACTGCTTGGAACGGGTTTCCAGGTCTTTGGAGAACAGTTATTAAAAAGCAAAGCCTGTGATCATGATCCAGGAAAAGAGGGAGATGGACTTCATCCATCCCCTTAAGCCTCTCCTGGCCTGTGTCAGGATTGTCCCCTTACAGACGCTTCCCATCGAGGTGAGAGTAGACAAAACCTAGGCTGGCTCGCGGAGCTATCTGTGGAAAGTAGGGGCGTGTGGGCAGGTTTCTCCCTGCAAAGCAATTAAGACTCTTGTTTCTCCTTATCTCCATCTCTCCTTCCATCCTTGACCCTTCTCGGTGTTCCCTCCTCTGTGCTCTCCTGCCCTGCCCCTCCTCTCACTCTCACCAGAGAGTTTTCCAAAGAGAGGGAGAAGGCCAAGGCCCGGGGAGATTTCCAGAAGCTGCGGGAGAAGCAGCAGCTAGAAGAAGATCTCAAAGGCTACCTGGACTGGATCACTCAGGCCGAAGACATCGATCCCGAGAACGAGGACGAAGGCATGGATGAGGAGAAGCCCCGAAACAGTGAGCAGCCATCTTCTTCTGTGTTTGGGCTGGGTTCTGGGGGAGAGGAAACAACATCGGGGTCAACACAGAACTTTGGCTGCCACCCTTTCTCGGCAGCCCACGGTGTGCCTTCCTGGAGCCGCACTTGTCTCACTGATGGCAGTCACAGTCTTGCTACACACAGACATCGCTCACAGGCGGGAAATCATAGCTGTCGATCTAGAAAACCTCATGCTCCTTTTAGAATATCTCACCTTAAAAGACAGTTGAGATGTTGCTAAGGCAGAGGCTTGTTTAAAATCAGAGATCCTTCTCCTCCAGGTTCCACCTTTTAGGGCCAGGGCCCAGGCTTCCCATTTGAAAGCACAGGCTTGTTTGAAAGGAACCATGTCTGCCAAGCAGCTGCCTGGAAAACTTTATACCTGCTCAGGTGTCCTTTCCCTCTTTGCAGAAGATTTCCGGACACTGCTGAGCTTTCTCGTAGGAAAGGTAGCCAAAGGTTTTTCTTAAGGGGGTTAGCTTCAAAGACCTGGGGAAGTGGTAAGTGGGAGCGTTGGGGGAAGCCCAGAGGAATTTGGCAGAATCCAACGAGGTGATGGAAATTGAGCCAAATCCCTTCCTCAGGGGTTCACGTGGCCCATCGTTGGATAGGCTGTGGCTGGGATAGAAATGAGAGTGATGGATGGCATTGACACACAAATATGTAAAAAATGATGGATCATGAAAATTCAGGCTCTTATCAGATTAGCCCAGTGGTTCTGAAAGCGTGGCCCCTGACCAGCAGCATTGGCATTACCTGGAAACTTGTTAGAAACGCAAACTCTTGGGCCCCACTCCAGACCCACTGACCCAGAAACTGTGGGAATGGGGCCCAGGAATCTGTGTTTTGACAACTCCCCCGGGTGATCAAGATGCATAGTAAATTTGAGAACCTTTGGGTTAACTCTGACCACTCTCTGTATCTCATTTGGTCTCGATCTCTGTGACTCTAACCATACTCTTTCTTTCTTTTTCTGTGTGCGATATCTTTCTCTTTCACTACACATGTTTGAATAGGTGCATTTCTGTCCTCTCAAGCAGCCTTACTTAAAAACAGTTTCCTAAACACTGAGCATCTAGAGTAGTCCAGGAAGCAAACAGGTTAAAGAATCGTCCAGGGCATTTGCTGCGTGGAGTCATGCCGACAAAGGCAGGGAGCTGGAACTTCACCCTGAGCAGAGAGGACGATGAGCAGAGCTGCCAGGAGCAGAAACAGGTGCAGGAAGAAGGGACGAAGACAGCCAAAGATGTTCACGGGAGCAGAATCTCTGCTCCCTCATTTCAAAGATAGATTTAATAAATCTATCAACTGCTCCCTTTCTGATAACACTGCTCAAGGAGCAAATACAAATTTAAAGCACACAAACAACAAGGGACTGGTAACAACATAATTTAGTAACCTAAGGAGGCCTTTGTGCTCTGCTAAGTGGTTTTGCAAGTTGGAATACAGGGCCTTTGATGGGTTATAACAATGAGCCATGATGCCGTTGAGGGTCTTCCTGGAAAAATGCCTGACGGCTTCTATTACACTGTTGATGGAACTGAGGAGTAGTGGATTCGTTTGTGGCACTGAGTGGTATGCTAAATAAATAAGTTGGCCTGTGAGCCACGGAGAAGCATACCTCTAAAATGCAGGAGTTTGTGTGCTGGCTCCTGGCTCCACCCTAAGTCAGAGCACTGGCCCTCCCTTGTGACTTACGGTGATGAGCATTTCTGTAGCATGTGTTACTGAAAACCTGCAATAGCCACTACATGCTTAGCAGCCAGTGGCTGTCCACTGAGATAACAGAACATAGCTATTCTGTTCTCTGCCTAAAGCAGGAGCTTCCAAGGGAGAGTGTGCGGCTTCTCCGTCTAACCCATTAAATGAATAAATTCCTAGGAGAGTTCCCAGCATGGAGTATTCTTTGCAGCTGGAACAGATCACATTGACAAGGCCCACTACCCAAATTTCTTGACAAACTTTGAGAAGAGCGTAATGAGCTGCCTACCCCAATAGACAGTCTCGCCAAGATTTTCCTAAGCCTAGATACGGATGGTCTTAGACTCTGGAGACTGGCTTCTCTCGCCTTGCACTGCTCCCTTACGGCTGGAGGAGCCCTGGGGGTCTGCTTCTTGTCCTAGGAGGACTGGAATGGGAGCCTGGCTCCTTCGTTAGTGGAAATACTAATTAGTGGGACAGTTCCAGGGGATGAGGCAGGGGAATGAATATTTTAAAAAGCAAGGTGTACAGAGTAAGATGGACACATGCAATGAAGTGGAACGTGAGAGACAGGAATGGAGCCAGGAAGAGAATCCAAAGGACTGCGTCTGTTGGGGAAGTCCAATGAAAAGTAGAATTGATGTGATGAAATGATTAAGGAATCGGAGGCCTAATTCACTTGCAAAAAAGGCAAGACAGTGGCTCAGAAACTATCTTCCTGTCTTGAGAATTTCGTAGATTGCCCTTTGAAACAAATACAAGGGGAGAAATCCTGCTACGTTTGAAGCATGTGTGTTTCAATTACCATATATCTTAGCCTTTGAAGCTTCTAAAAGACTACAGTATGGTATGTTTGCCAACTCTCTTCAGCTCAAAAGCTAAGTCATCTTTTAAGAGAAAAGGCTGATCACTCTTCATCAGCAGCTATATTGACTCTGCTTCTCCCCGGGCAGCATCCGTATTCCCGTGGTGTGAGGCTACGGAGGTGGGGCTGGGTGCAGCGCAGGAGCTGCTTGGTGACACACAGCATACCTGAGGGGAGCCCAGGGATTCTGTTTTCTTAGGGAAAGCTGCAAAAGTCACCAAGGAAGTAGAAGAAATGGGCTGGAAGGACAACAGAAAGAAAGCATGCAGTTGGGAGGCTTTTCTCTAAATATTAGAGTAAGTGAAGTGGCCAGTAAGTTATATGCAAAAATGTGTTCCAGTTCATTCATTCATTAGTCCACCCACTCACAAATGAAAGGTCTGCTCTCTGCCGGGCACTGTTGTAGACACTGGTGATAGAGCACTCAACACGGGAGTCAAAAATCCCTGCCCTCGTGGAACTTAGATTCTAGTAGAGAGACAGATGGTAAATTAAATAGCACGCTAGAGAGGGGCGAAGCAGTGAAGGGGGAAGAGTGTTGAGAGGTTGTGGTTTCAGAGGGGCAGCCAAGGAATGTCTCACGGAGAAGGCAGCATTGGAATAAAGACTTGGAGGCTGCAAGGAAAGGCACCCTGCAGAGAGTTGGGAAATAGCCTTCTAGGGGTTAGCAAGAAGGGGCCAATGAGACGGGGGCCACACTGATGAATCCGGAGCTGAGGAGGCTTGTGCAGCTGGAGAGGAGGGAGCAAGGGGGTGAGTGGTGTGAGGTGAGGCTGTGGGATCCAGGGAGTAGGGTATATAAACTGTTGTGAGAACTTGGCTCTTACTGGGAGTGAGCCAAAGAGCCTCTGGAGGGGTTTGAGCAGAGAAGCAACACGATCTGACAGACCCTCACCAGGGTCCGTCTGCCTGCCATGTGCAGAATGGAGTGAAGGTGGGCCAGGGGGAGGCAGGGGTCCCGTCAGGTGCCTGCTGCCTCAGGAGATGCTGGGCCTGGTCTTGACACCCGTGGAAGTGATAAGGTCAGACTTCAGGACGATGTCATTTGCAGACGCATCAGATATGGGATGTGAGAGAGAGAGGTCAGGCATTTTCCAAGGCAATTGTTCTAAATGATACCAAGAGTAGAACTGTCATTTATGGATATGAGGAAGTCTGGGAGAGGAACGGGTGTCAGGGCAGGAGGACCAGGAAAGCCATCTCAGACCCTGAAGTTTGAAGTGCCTATTAGACATCCAAGTGGAAATGTTGAGTATGTAATAGTGAATGAACCTCTCCAGGAGAGAGATCTGTGGCTGAACTGTAATTTTGAGTCAACAACATATAGAAGATACTTATCCCCTGGATCTCTGGATGAGATCACTGGGGTGTGAGTGTAGACAGAAGTGAGATGCGGTCCCAGAACTGAGTCCTAGCCCTACTGATGTTTGGAGATTGGGATAAAGGGAAAGAACCAGCAAACAGGACTCCTAAAGGCACGGTCAGAGGGACAGGAGGGAATGCAAAGGAAGGGGTGTGAGTGTTACTGCTGTGACTGGAAACTGACCATTGCGCTTAGCAATGTGGGGCTCACTTGCTGGTGCCTTAACACAGGCTGTTGGATGAAATACTGGGGAGAAAGCTTCCTGGTGAATCAGCCTTACCCTGTGCATCTCTCGAGTCTGCATGCCTCCTGCAATGGCATGGAGCGTTGCTCTGCAGGCTTCTTGCTTCTTTGGCATGGCCCAGCTTCCAGCCACCTGAAGAGTTTGGCCATCAGGAAACCAGAAAGAGGACAGGAGGACACTCACACAGACTCTGGCATGCCCATGGCCTCAAGACAGTCAGTGTCTAAAGCTTAGCCCATCATGATGTTCCCTTCTACAGCAATGCCAACACTAGTCACTGCCTCTGCAACAGTTTACCGACGGTCTTGGAAAAAAGAGGACTTGATACTCAAGAGCCATTTCAGAGCCAAAACGGCAAGAAAGGGGCATGTTTATGCACTGTTACCCTGGATGCAACTTCCTAAATGGGGCAGCCAAGAGCCAAGCCCCTTTTCTCTCTGGGCATAGACTAGGATAATGTTGAGGTCTGCCCACTCTAGTGACTGCTTCTTCCCTGCCTCTGAGCAGCAGTGAGCAGCCCCTGTGAAGGGACCCATTGCAAAACCATCATTACCACACGGGTTTATTGTCATCAGCAGAGATGCACTGCTTCAAGGGACGGGGCTCATTTTCCAGCTCCAATGTTAAATCTAATAGAAGGTGAGACACTAGAGGGAGAAGCCATAAAGAAAAAGAGACAGATTTTCTTCTTTTTCCTCTTCAAGATCAAAAAACACATTTATTAAATATCCATCTTTACGGGAGTCTCTCTCTCATGTCGTTAAGACAACTTAAATGCAGCCCTGGCTCTCTAAAGCTTGCAGTC